TTTTTTTTTTTTTGATCAGAACTTGCGTATTTCACTGGTAATATTGACCTTAAGAAAAAAAATTAGGCTTTTAGGACCAAAAAGACGTCTATGAAAAACCAGCTCTTCAAAATCTTCATGTAGGAAAGTGGATACAGTAATAGCTTAAATGAGACGTGAATGTCGGAAAGTCCAAAAGTAAAAAAAGGAAAATGCCGAAAAAAAAAGCCCGGTAAAAGATTTTCGGGGTATCAATTCCTTCCCCATTCAAACATTATTCTTAGCAGTTTTGCTAACTATCGTATTTATTTGATTCCTCGATTGCTCTTTCTAAAAGATTCTCAACTGAACTGAAGTTTTAATGAGGACAAACATAGGATACTCATTTGACACTCATTTTTTAATTTTTCAATTTTCCAGCCACGGCGCTCAAAAAGTCGACTTTATCTTCTATGGTTCTAATTGTTACATTCATCTACCAGCAAAAAAAGTGAAAAAAAAACCGTACGGGTTTCTCATTATGCTTGATAATAGCAGTTTAAAGTTGTCACAGCCACTGTCAGTCTTTAAGTGACTTATTTTTAAGAACTTTTTCAAGAGTACTTCTTGATACCAGACAACATATGCATTAAGAAACTGTAAACTTTTATACTTTCAATTTTATTATAAAAAGTTTTATTTTTATTATTTCTTACTAAAAAACTATAACTTTTTTTAACAGTTTTGAATTTTCTATAAATCTTTGTTTAAACAGTCTAAAAAGCTTGAAAAATGCCGGTGGTCGTTCAGGTAGCTCTGGACAATAAGTGTATGAGTGAAAATGACCTGTATGAGTGAAAATCCGGCAATCTGATCAACGAAGATTTCATTTCAGAAACGCGAGCTTGTGGTTTGATACATCGATTTGATTTACATATACTTTATTTATCTATTATACTGGCCAACCAGTTAAAAATTTGGTGTTTTTTTTTTTTAAATGCTAATTTTTTGATAACTGTCAGCAGTAAAGATAACTGTTGGTATTACACCTATGTTGACCACAAACTTTTCATTCAAGATTAAATTCTACAGATTTTTGTTCGACACTTATTGATTTGTTCTTTTTGTTTCCGGTCGAAGACAATGGCAATCTGATTGTTCTGGCAATAAAATCTTTAACACCA